AAGATGCCGGAAGTGCACACAAAACTGTCTGGACATGCAACTTTTGCTGGATCTGTTGCAATTGGGATGTAATAGTGTAGCTGTTAAACCTTTGTCACATTATTATGCCTGCCCAGTATTCAGTCAAGCCTGCAGCACATACGATAAATGAAAGAACAGGTGTAAACAGAAATAATCTAAATCTGCTTGTGCGTGTTGCCAAAGAAGACTTTCTCGCACAATTGCCTTTGCCAGTGGACGGTTTCCAGTGCATCACAATGGACATTTATGTCAGTTCATCTGTATTGCTGCTTGATGTTTAGGATTAGCTTTGCACCACGATTTTCTCCTCTAGCTTCGTGAAGAGTTTTTTTCTTAGAAGAGGGAACTGAACACTGGCTTTATTAGGCAGCTTTCATGTTTGTTCAGAGCGGCTTAGAAAAGTATTCTCTGACCCTTTGAGTCTTCTTTTCCTGCATATCAAACACAAATATTAGTCTCGGTAACAGTAACAGCATGCTCTGTGAAGACTTCTACGTACAATATTTTATGGACACAAAGTTAATTGATGTCTGCATGCCTCCAGCCTTTGCATATTTTTCGTATGGTACTTTTCGAGATGTGGTACTGTGGAGTGGCGGCTCGACCTTTTGAGTGGCCTTACCCGGCCTTTGTTTTTGTAGAATTGTAACTTCCTTGCCTTCACAATTGTCGAATGCCGATTTCATTAGTAATTCCTAAATCTCAGTGTTTGCCATAATGTGCAAAGTTGAACAACATAGATTTGCTGTTCATATACACTGAAGGCGTTAGGTAGTTGCCTAAACAAACATCAGGCTATGAACAAAGGACATTGCGAGATGACATTATTTTCATTGCTTGCTCCTACATGCTTCTACATGCAAAAGAAAAATGCTAGCCCATTTGGGAAGGGTAAAAGAAAAGCAAACCGAAACTGCAAATATACGGGAACTTGCTTGAGCATACCTTGGCGTGGCACTCAAAGGGTGAAAAGCGGTGTCTTTTTTGGGAGTGTTGTAACTTGCCTTCAGTTTTTTCTTCGTTAATCAATGTGTGCAGTCATTGCAGGGTTTGTGTGTGTCTCAAAAATATTCTATAGTGCTGTAGTACAAAGCCAGTTCAGGTTTCATGCTTTCGAGATACTTGTGGATGCAGCTTTTCTTTTGGATTGTGGTTGCATATGGTGAAGCGACCTTCTTTTGTCGGCTTGCCCTTCCTTTGTGACTCGCAAAACTGTTTTTTTGTTGCGTCCTGCAGGGTATTTTGATTAGAGTGAGGTGGTGCTCAAAATGCAAACATATCCCAGGTAGCATGCCAGAGGCACAAGCTTGGCAATCCTAGGGGCCTGACTTGGGCCGAATATGGTTTTGCTCCAAGCTTTTAATATGAGAGTACTTTGGCATTTCTATGGCTTTTCTTTGGCGCACCAATCATTGCCAGAGGGCCAGGCTTCAGCCAAGCTACCAGCAGTGAAGCTGAAATCTGTCGGTTGTTTGGCAATTGAGGCCCAAAGTTGCCACATGAGCATCGAACAAGCAGAATCAAAGCCTGACTCTGACATTTGTTTGGCGATTTAGGCCTAAATATGTCGCAGGACAGCCAAACTACCTACAGTGAAGCCTAACTTTGGCACTTGTTTGGTAAATTGAAGCCAAAAAAGGTCCAGTTTGGCTCTATCTTTGCTTTGGGCTTTTTATGGCCCTAAATTCCCAGAAAAAAAAACAAATTTCGGTTCAAGGGATTGTGCTACCTGGGATTGCTTTGCTGCCTGCCTTGATGTCACCAATACTAACTTAACGCATCAAATCGTTGAAAAACAAATGCGTTCACCCAAAGCTGCTGTGGACACTACATATACACCGCTCTGCAAGCCGTGTTGCTGCCTCGGTGTGGCGTGACATGAAAGTTCGAGTTTGGGTGTAGTTGCGTTGAATGGGGAAAACCATTCTGGCAGAGTATGGCCACTGTGTCATCATCCTGAGATTATAATTGTTTCAAAAATTAGAGCTTTTTGTTGTGTACTTGTTTGATCTTATGTGGCTCTTTGCTGGTTGCACCATGATGTCAAGGTTGGAGATAATTTTGGTTGTAGCACCATCTAGGATGAATACAGAGCTAATACATTTGTGATGGTCCCTACTGGCTCTAAAAGAGGTCTGCATTTTTGCTTTTTCGCAAAGCTCGGGAGAGCCGATCAATGCAGTCTGTGAAAAGGGCCTGGGAGGATTCGACGAAGTCTTCATGCAGAAATGTTCTCTGCTTTAGGTTTGGCATATGTGAAAAGCTCAAAGTTTTGTGCCGCAGGGCAGATGACATTTCTGCATGAAAACTTTGTCAATGTCTTATCATTTGCTATTTTCCTTACATAGATTGTCATAATTGACTGTTGCATGCTCTGGCAAAAGGACTGTTTTTTATATTAACATTACAGGCTTGTGCTAATATGTTAAAAGCATTGGCACCTTTTAATGGATCTCGTTATCAGAGGCCCCCTTCAAATATCAACAACGGACATTGTCTCAAACATCATGCTGCAATGCTTTCATGAGTTTTTTCGGCCACCATTTCTTACTTGTGTACCATTGTTACTGGAAGGCAATATGGTCTCAAATCGGCTGCTTCTGACTCGCATGTAGATTAAAGCTCTTTCAAGTTGAAGCAGGTATGGGGCTCTACCATGCTGGTGTGGTAGTTGTTTCACAGCCTCGTTGCGAATATATCGGTGCAGTCTGCATTTTTAACTTGATACCTGATCAAAATTGTTGGCTTCTTGCACCAACTTTAGCTTTTATAATGATAACATGCGCACATATCTATTTTCCACCTGAAGAATCTCAAGCTTTTTGGTGCCGCCTTTAAGCTCATGGAAACCAGATCCCTGCTACCTGCTCATATTTTATTCTGTCATTGGCCTGTATGGATTTAAACATTTTCTGGAATAGACAGAGATAGCATTTAGTGCATTAGAGCTGTAGCTGGTGCTGCACCATAAAAATTCAACCTTCTTTTAGATGGAAGAATATGTCGATGCTGAGGTGTTTATTTTTTTCTTGTCACGAGCAAAGTTGTGCTTGTATTTTGAGAGAGTGTGTGATACCTCGACGTTATGAATCTACCGTTCACTTTAAAGTGTAATCATACTGAAATTTGCTGCACTGTCTCTGGCGTGTTACGGATATTACAGCCAGAGCTAGAAGCGTGTGATCTACTTATGACCCTGTGTTGATGGGTTGACAAACACATTTCCAGCTTTGTATTGCCCATTCAGACTCGTGAAGTACCTGAAGCTGCTTTGGCAAGCTGTTCACTCGATCATAGTTGCCCGAATGTTTGGACACCTTTCTAATTTTGCCTGGAGACGGGCGACTCTTTTTCCTTTGCTGTTGGGGTAGCTCAGCGATGTTCCAATGAAAATGTTAATTTTTTTCAAGCTTTCTTGGGTTCATGCTTTATTCCGAATGGGATAGTCTATATGCTTGAACCCAGGTTTGTGTATGAGGGGACTTTGTGACTGTGCACCGGAGCAGTTGAAGCACTAGGCTCATGCACTTGTGTGTGGCTAAGGCCGATGCACAAGCAGAAAGGGGGACACTTCTTCTTTCTGCCGGAAGTAGCTGTTTTCGGGTGAGGAGGTAAGAGTGCAACTGGGGATAGGAAAGGACATTGAAGGGTTGGGTCTACTTGCTGAGAAATGTCTGCGTGGTGTGCGATACAAGCTTATTTAGTTTTGGGAGAAGTGGTGTGATCAGCGAGGCAATGCTCACTCCCCTCCGATTTTGGTGCAAGTGATTGCTGCTTTGGATTTGTATAAAATTGGTTTTGTGTCAGATGCAGCACAATGTTGTGGTGAGTCTGAGCCAATGTACTGTCGAGCAGAAAGCGTGGCTGGCTGCTCATGCCGGCCGGTGTCTCTGGCTGGACACCTTTTCAGGAGCAACAAGGGACCATTGGTTTGCTCCTTCTGGTGCAGCTCATAACATTTTGTCCATTTTAGAAATAGCCTTTGTGAAATTAGTTTCAGAAGTTTTCTGGGCCCTTTACCAGAAAAATGCTCTTTGCAGTAATGGAAATGTGAGGAATGAAGGAGGTATCTGGTTGTTAATCTGGGCCTAAAGTGATCACTAGTATGTTAATTGAAACAAGTGTAAGCTGATGTAAGGAGGTGACATGTTCCAGGGTAACCCTCTGCCTTCCTTGAGGTGAGCAGGCAGGTTTGATACAATATGGTTGAGTTCCAGAATTTATTCGATCTCACTCCAAGTAAAGGTTTTGTACCTTGGCAAAGGGACAATCTATTTACGTCCAATATTCTGTCTGTGTTATCGAGTGACTTCACCCACGGGAGAAATTGGACCTACCTGAATAAGATTTGGAACACAGCCTTTGTGTTTGCTTTCTGTTGTGGGGTGTGTGGTGCAACTTGGTGCCAGCGTAGAATTCCATGGGGATGCCGTTGGCTAGTTGGCTTGAGCCACAGCTCCGGCATCGAAGAAAGTTGTCTCACGCTGGTGTTGACAACGCCACTTTGGAAGCCAGGTTGCAGTGCCGCAACGACCAAGTTGCACCGCCCTCCAGCGGGCTCGGGCAGTTTGGTCCTCAAATGCTCCTGCCAAGGTCACTTGGAAGTCGTGCAAGCCCCGTCCAGTATGTTGTCGGGTACCGGCGCCGTCCCTGCGCGGCACACCCCTGCGGAGAAGTGGTACTCTGGCTCACGGCGCACCATTCCGTGGAGCCTGTCGTCGAGCGGGACGTGCGTGCAAACCATCGCAAGGTGTGACACCTATCGACCGTTTCTGCGCGTGCCACAGGACTGTTGCCCCATGTGCCGGCAGTGCCCCATGTGCCGGCGGTGTGTGTGAGCTGGAGTATCATTTCTCGCGGCGGCCGCGGGCTGGCAACGTGCTTCCAGGTCACCTTGCCGGCGGCTTTTGAAGTGGCCCAGGTGGCGAGGGGTTTGTGTTCCTCGGATCTGGATGGCGTGCCTCGATTCCTTTCTACAGCAACACGGGAAAGCGGCTGATGGCCAAGTGCCGACTGCTGTACCAGGAAAATGAGGAGCTGGGCAAGATGATATCGTCTGGCCGTCTGGCTAAGCTCGAGGGAGATCTGGCTTTGCAGCGGAACTTCAGCGAGGAGATGAAGAAGAGCCAGACGGGTAAGGGCACCAGGTGGCAGTCTTAGAGCGCCGGAAACCGACGGGGCCATCGTCTCTTGCAGAGCAAGATGAGTTCCTTCTGGAGCTCGACGAGGAGGTGGAAGGGATGCAGAGCACCATCTACCTGCTGCAGCAGCAGCTGCGTGAGGCCAAGGAGCAGCTGGCACGTCTGCAGGCGGACAAGCGGCTCACCAATGGCGACTCCGCACCCACACCCAAGGAGGCAGACACCCTACCCAACGGCCACCTGGCCGAAGAGGAAGACCGGCCTCGGGAGGCCCGAACCGTGGACGCGGGGGACGGGGGTGCGGCCACTAAGGCCAAGAGGGGCGCTGCGAGGGCCGGCAGGGCACCTGCCCGACGGTCTGCGGCACCACGGACCCGCAAGCGTGCGCGTGAACAGAGTTTGGACAGCCCTGAGGCCAAGGTTGCAGCACTCGAGATCGATGCGGACACAGAGGTGCAGGTTGCACAGACTTTGGCCTGCTGGTCGCTGGTTAACAAGGAGCGGCAGCAGGACGGCTCCTCGGACTCTGCGGCCGCCGACGACGCCCAGGACCTCTGAGGGCGCACAAACTGTGGCAGCGTGGAAACGTCTGCCCCGGCTGTGCCGATGCCTCTTGCCTGTGGCTTGGCAAGAGACGTGTCGTGTTTGGTACGGCCACGCGCGCCCTCCGGTGTTAAGAAGCGCGTCGCTCGCTGTGTGGGGGGCGGTTCTCCAAGCACAAATCATGCCGCGCAATTTCTTCCCCGATTTTGCAGGTTTGGCCGGCGAGCACCGCTGTGGAGTCAGACACTTGGGGAATTCTTTGTCTCCTGTGGTCCTCCCCTTGTGTGTGTTTGTGTGTGTCATTCATCTATTCGTTGCTTAGGCCAACATGGGGTGGAACAACCACTTTTGGTCTGGTTTTCTTAGCAGCATTTCATTGGGGATGAACGCTACCGCGAAAACTTTATGTCGAGGTTCCTTTATCTTCCTTGACGAGAGGCAGAAGGTCTCGGAGATGTTAGGACAGTCACTTGTTCATGATTGTGAGATCGCTCCACAAATAAATGACAGCGTTGGCCAGCTTTGGCCATCCACATGCAGCAGCTTTGTACTATGGTCTTTCTTTGTATGATTGTGTGTGTTGTGTTTGTTCCCCTCCTGATTGGTTGGATATGACAGAAATGCTCCAAAATTATTTGAAAATACAAATACAGGAATACATAGCAAAGACAACAAACATACTGGTGGTGAAAAATGGAGGACATTTGGAAGTACACATTGCGACACTGTTGGCGCGAGCACGATATTGGCGCACTCTCACATTTTCACTATGCAAGAGTATTAGCGTGCCCTAAATTTTCTTGCCTCCACTAGTCCCCCAAATGAGCACCTTCCGTAGCAATAAAAACAATGAAATCCGTTTGTTTTTAAAAGAAAAACGGCAATTGCTTGTTTGTGCTAACAGCGTCGCGCTCTGTACAGCTGCAGGAATACATTTTGCTGGGGCCACAAGTACGGAAATGTATATTTCCATAAAATATTCAGACATTGCCCCTCTGTCACTTGTTAAGTACATTGAGAAGGAGAAGAGGGGATGAGACACAATGAGGGCGAGTGATCATGTGTGCAACAAATCTCTGCCCCTGCAGCTGCTCTTTGGTCTGGAGCAATGTCTTGGTTACTTGGTCTTTGAAAAGCGTAGGCTGTGTAGGTGACAGCCACTAGTTTTAGGTGTGACAAACGTCTACGTGCCAAGTCTAGTGAAATGAAACATGCATAGAATATAACCTTTATTTTGATGTAACAGAATTAATGGAATGAAACGCAAGATTAAATGCAACACTTATTTGTTGCGTCACGGAATCAGTTGACCGAAAGAGATATTTAAACATGAGCTCAACTTATACCACTGATCGATAAACAAGGAACCAAATGAAACAAATGTTAAGACAACGCAAGTGAATTCAATCGGACATCACACAGTCAATCGAAACAAGTGTAGATAGAAATGCTAGTTACATGTGACCTTCAAAGAGCAAACTTGTCGATGGGCACAAGCAACTGGTTATAGGGCGACGTTAGAAGAATTGCAACATATACATTGTAGCATTTCAACAGTTATGTGGCCTTGCGCTAGCCCCAAACACCGACCGACAGGTTGGTGTTTGGGGAAGCAGTGCTCTGGGATCGGGTTACAGTTAAAGGGATGCTAAACCAAACATTTCACTGCCCATAATAAGTGGAGCATGATCGTTCCACGAGACAACAGCCGCTGGTGTACGCAAGCACGCCAGCGGCAATTTCTACAAAAAAAGGTGACTTTGTAAAATGTCATATTTACCAGCACCTAGAGAGTATTCCCCAAAAGTTTCATTAGTTTACACTATAGTTAATTTTTTTATAAATTCTTTTCAGTACACCAATGCTAAACCCAGTTAAAAATAACCATTGACTCCAATTAGGATATTCAATTGGAACCAATTGAAGTCAATGGAATTCAATTGGTTCTGGGTCATCCAACTGGTCATTTTAATTAGTTTCCAATTGGTCACACCAATTAGGACCAACAAAATTCAATTGGCACTGGGCCACCTAATTGGTCACTCTAATTGGATTCAATGTTTCCAACTGGTTACCCCAATTAGGACCAACAAAATTCAGTTGGCACTGGGTCACCTAATTGGTCACTCTAATTGGATTTAATGTTTCCAACTGGTTATCCCAATTGGGATCAATAAAATTCAGTTGACACTGGGCCACCTAATTGGTCACTCAATTGGATTCAATGTTTCCAACTGGTTATCCCAATTAGGATCAATAAAATTCAGTTGGCACTGGGTCACCTAATTGGTCACTCTAATTGGATTCAATGTTTCCAACTTTATGTTTTCAATGTTTCCAATTTTCAAGTTTCCAAAGATCGCAATTTCTTTTTCTTTTTTTTTTGTTTTTTTTTTTTTGTTTTCAGTATTGCGTTGCAATAAATTTTTTCAACATCACAATTTGAAAAGGGGAAAAAAAGTCGCACGCTGTTTAATATAAAAAAAAAGAAAAAAAAATCTTGCTAGAATTTGTCCGAATTGCCGGCAGCGTCGGTGTACACTGGGCGGCAAAGATGGCGCCGCGAGGAGATCAGTGGGTGGATGCTAGACATGGAGAAGATGGAGAATAGAAGGGTAGGAGAGGGCATGACGTCAGCCGCGTAGCCTCCACAAGCCATGCTCCCTTGACGCCTCGCCTCTTTCTCATTTTCCTCCTTACTCTCACCACATCACGTGACCGTAGCTAGCCTTCGTCTAGCTATGGTGTACTAGAATACACCACAGCCTAGCCTTCGATCTGATAAAACCTACCGGACGGAGCGCGCGCAGGCCTGCAAGAAATCCTCCTACAATCAACCATCCATCTCACACGTGACATGTCACGCGCACCAATCGCCAAAGAGATCTGCGGTCACGCTGGGCACAAAATCGTTTAAACTTTTTATGACTAGGCTTCACCAATATTGCAACGTGCCCCCTCCTAGTATTTCTAACCTCCTTGATGCTAGAGCAGAGTAGCGTAAGTATAGAGGGACTTTAGAGTAGCGCAATCTAGAACGCCGCCTCTCGGCGACTAGCGGCGAACGCCCGGAGGTTCCAACTGCTGTCAGAAATGCATGGAGAACGTGAGACAATCGCTGTTTCTTCAGTATTGTGGGGGTGTACGGAGTGGCAATTATTTTTGACATAATAATGGAACATTTTAGAATAATTTGCGCTAAGTTTTGTGCCCCGCAAGGACCTGACTTTTTTTTTAAAAATTGCTTGAGCGGCATCATGCAGCAGACGACACGGCGACGTCACACCATTCACGTGACCCGCTCCGGCCAACCCGAAAAGCCCATCTCCGCTGCGAGCAAAAATCGTCTGCTTCAAACGCCATTGCCTTGGAAATTGCCTTCTCAAAATTTGCACACGCATCCGATATTATTAAAACTTTGATAAAGTGTTTAGTGCTTTACTAACTTCACGGCAGACTAGTTTTGAAAAGTGTGAACTTGCCGTTAATTTTTTTAATCAGCCGTGTTGTATCGATCTCCATGATCAAGAAAACTGCTCCGACTTTACTCAACAAGATTAACAATTTAATCAAACGTTTCGTCTCCCATGCAGGAAACATCGTCAGTGAAACCTACAAGCAGGAATGAGACAAAAAAACTTCAACAGTCCTATTTAAGCAAGTCCGCGTACACATCGGGAAGGGGGCCGCGGTTCGAGTTGCAAGCTGATGAGTCACTTCGGATGAACCATGATTCCACGAACCCGCGTGGACCCCACCTTTGTTCGCGCGCCAGAGTGGACGCATTCTCAAAGTCGAAACAGTGACCCGTATTCCAACAATGGTCTACGAGTTCCGTCTTCGCTCTTGTCGCATGCGTGGCCTTCGCCACGTCCCTTTTGTGTTCGTTTAAGCGAGTGCAGCGCTTCCGGCCTGTCTCCCCAATGTAGGATGCGTCACAGTCTAGACAATTCACTTTATACACAACACCGCACTGGGACTCTGGGGGGGGTGTAATCTTTAGGTTTAGAAATGAGGTCACGTAGTTTACGATGGGGTTTGAAAGCAGTACGGATATTCAAAGGGGCGAGGCGAGCCGCCGTCGGCCATGTTGTCGGCCGAGCCGCTCTGTCGGCCATGTTGTCGGCAAAACACGGGGTTCAAAGGATTGCGCTACTCTGCTCCGTAGGAGCTATATAGTGCTCTAGTGGATGCATGAGGCCATGCATGAGGCACATGGCGCCGATGGCGTGGATGGCGTGCACGGCATTCGTAGCATGGTTCTGGCAATGATTCACGAAAGTTCTTTTTAGTGTTTTACTGCTGCAGAGTGCTCAATGGTGCGGTGATAATTCATTTGACCTGCCAGCTTCTTAGAGCGCGAAGGATTGGCAACAAACGTTTATGGGAGCAAGGTAAGAAATTTTCTTTGTCCTTGCTGCGCTGCAGTTTGGGGATTTCGGATTGTTAGATCTGCTGAGACACTCGTTGCTTGATCTTCAGTGAACGATACGAGCGTGAATGTATAGCTTTAGAGAAGAAAATTTTCCGGGCAGCTATCAGTTCGGAAGTGTTGGGTATCCGCGAGGAAAGTTAAGTGCGTTTTAAGCACCTCAAAACTGAACAATGAATTGCTGAAAACACTGACTGGGCACAGTTTCAAAAACTGAAGCTTTGGGATTCAAAATTAAGCAATTTTGGGGGAATTTTCGATGAGTGGGAAGTGGGGGGGGGGGGGTCGGTCGGTCGGTGATGTCGGATCATTACCTCCAGAATTTGAGGACTTCTTAATAAAATAACACTAGGTGCCGAAAATTTTGCATCTCATCCGGCGGACTATTTGCAGCTATGTTTCAAAATTTACTCTGTCTCACTCAGGGTAAGTTCAAAAACCTACCCGCATCCAGCGTTGCCTCTGATCCCTTCGAGTAAGATTTGGAACACAGCCTGCAATGCATGATTTCTTTTCGAGATACGAAAGACACTTATTTTTTCACCCATGTACACTTTAAGCATTTTTCAGGTGCACTGGCCAGAGATCAGAGATCCCTTTGAATTGACTGTTTTTTCTCCTTATAGCAGAGAATATCTCTCACAGGCTCATAGGAAACTTATCCCAGATGCAAATTTAGCCCAGTCTCGGCAAAAGCTTCATCTCCTAATTTTGACCAGAGTGTTTCAGTCACCCAGGGATGTTTGCCTTTTAATGCAAGGCCTGCAGGTTTATACCACTGCAACTAATTTCTTTGCAGCAAAAAAAAAAAAAATGTTTAGTATGTTTCTAAGCTTGATTTAAACATTTATAGTCCCATAAGGTCATTTAATGCATATTGCATCCTATTGACTATGCCGAACTGGTTCGAATTGATGTTCAATTAGATTTCGACAATTGGAACCAATTGACTTTTTCTAACTAGGAGTCCGAAATCACAGATAGGATTCCCCATTGGTTCTAATTGTTGATAACTAATTAGAACCAATTGACTTTTCCTAACTAGGAGTCCGAAATCACAGATAGGATTCCCAATTGGTTCTAATTGCCGACAACTAATTGGAACCA